AAGGAAGCTGCCTTATACTGAGTCCTGTTGCTAGTCCATCTAGCTCAGTTAGATTAACTGTCCTTTTGGGGACTTAACTAACAGCTGTAATGAAGGCTGGTGTTAGAATTCAGAGTATACAAAAAGCATGTATGCATTTTGATTGGTTGGTGCAGGTTTAGAATTTTCAGTTAGGTAGTGTGATTGGCTGGGGCTGGACTAGAAGGGCTGGAAGAAGTGTATATATGGCTGGGCACTGGTGAGTTGAATTAGTAGGAGTTATTTATGTTTGTGGAGAGAAGAAGAAGGCTTAGGTTGAAGAGCCAAGGGGAGAACCTACCTGCAGTGCTGACGGGAGAAGTGAGAAGCAGCTTGGGATGTTCATCTCTTTTGATTGGTAGGAGTATCAGAGGGAAGATTTCCATGACGGGAGAGCAAAACAAACCTTTGCTTCAAAAGACCAGTAAAAAGGGGGGGGGGGGGAGACTTCCAGCAAAGTTCTCAGAGTGTCGGTGTGGCTTGACAAGGGTGGAGAAAATAAAAGGGCAATTTAGCTAAAGGGTTTTAATAGGGTAACTAACTGCTTGTCTCCCTGCTTGTTTAACTTATATGCAAAATTCATCATGCGAAAGGCTGGGCTGGATGAATCCCAAACTGGAATTAAGATTGCCGGAAGAAATATCAACAACCTCAGATATGCAGATGACACAACCTTGATGGCAGAAAGTGAGGAGGAATTAAAGAACCTTTTAATGAGGGTGAAAGAGGAGAGCGCAAAATATGGTCTGAAGCTCAACATCAAAAAATGAAGATCATGGCCACTGGTCCCATCACCTCCTGGCAAATAGAAGGGGAAGAAATGGAGGCAGTGAGAGATTTTACTTTCTTGGGCTCCATGATCACTGCAGATGGTGACAGCAGTCACGAAATTAAAAGACGCCTGCTCCTTGGGAGAAAGGCGATGGCAAACCTAGACAGCGTCTTAAAAAGCAGAGACATCACCTTGCCAACAAAGGTCCGTATAGTTAAAGCCATGGTTTTCCCGGTAGTGATGTATGGAAGTGAGAGCTGGACCATAAAGAAGGCTGATCGCCAAAGAATTGATGCTTTTGAATTATGGTGCTGGAGGAGACTCTTGAGAGTCCCATGGACTGCAAGAAGATCAAATGCATCCATTCTTAAGGAAATTAGCCCTGAGTGCTCACTGGAAGCACAGATCGTGAAGCTGAGGCTCCAATACTTTGGCCACCTCATGAGAAGAGAAGACTCCCTGGAAAAGACCCTGATGTTGGGAAAGATGGAGGGCACAAGGAGAAGGGGACGACAGAGGACGAGATGGTTGGACAGTGTTCTCGAAGCTACAAACATGCGTCTGACCAAACTGCGGGAGGCAGTGGAAGACAGGAGTGCCTGGCGTGCTCTGGTCCATGGGGTCACGAAGAGTCGGACACGACTAAACGACTAAGCAACAACAACTAACTGCTTCCTTAAAGCTGTCTTGAGTGTAATATTAATAGTTAAAGATTGGAATTAAAAGTGGCAGCTAACAGGTTAACAAAGCATATACTCATTTAAAGATAGATTGAAGTAACTTGAAAAACTTGTGTACTTAATAATCTTGCAAGAGGTAAATGCAAATACCTTTATTAAATATAATATCAGTATCTGACTGTCTTTGTACCATGCCTGTATTAGGGCTGCCATATTTCAAAAAGTGAAAATCTGGACACAGATTTTTGCAAAACGACAAAAAAGATTATGAAATTTTAGAGCTATTTTTAAGGAAATTTGCCAAAATCTACACTACCAACATGTGTTGCTATACGCCCGAATTTTCCTGGACATTTCAGCGATTTCTGCCTGGACACTGTTTCTGACTGCTGAATCCAGGCTATGTCCTGGATGTATGGCAACCCATGGCTACCAAGTTATTGGTAAATTAAGTGTCCAGAGGGACTGAGCAAGACTGAGTGGTGGTAGTGGCACAGATTTAGAAGTACTACGACTGTAGAAGTTGGGTTTTGTTATTATAGAGTGAGAAAATATTCCCCTTCTGTCTACAGCTATACCGGATTAAAGGGACCAAAGAGCCCCAGGAAAAAATTGCACAGGAGGACGTTTGGAGAGGGTCACAGTGTACAGGCGCTCTCACAATGCTGGATCAGGCAATGAAGCTGAATGTTGGGAGATAAAGGACAGACAAAAGGCAATGTTTCACAGTGTACTGTTGATTTCTGGAATTTGTTATGACAAGATGCAGTGAGGGCTATCAACTTAGACAGCTTTAAAGGAGGATTAGACAAATTCATGAAGGATAAAAAAAATAAAAAATCAGAGGCTCCTGCTAATGATAGCTGTGCACTACTTTCAACATCTGAGGCAGCATGCCTCTGAACACCAGTTGCTGGGTTTCACAAGTGGGTAAGGTTTTTGCACTGGCAGGCTTACCATAGGCATCTGGCTGGCCATTGTAAGGACATGAATGCTGGGCTAGATAAACCTTTGGTCTTAACCAGAAGGACTGATGTTTTTATGTTTATATGCTAAAGTCTGAATCCTCAAAACCTAGAAGGGGTAAAATTGGACAGCAAAGGGGGGGGGGAATGGGGAGCATAGGCTGCATATACACCATACATTTATAAAACATGTTAAAGCACACACCTTCCCTCAAAGAATCATGGGGACAATCATTTACACCCTCACAGTGCTATAATTCCCAGAACCCTTAATAAACTACATTTCCTAATATTGTTTGGGGGAAGACACGTGCTTTAAATGTGCATTGAATATGCTTTAAATGTGTGGTGAGTATTCTTCATCGTGCCATTGTTTAATTTTAGAAAGAAAAGAAAACTAAGCCATCTTTTATGAAGGATATGCTGATGGAAAAGTTAATATTTAAATGTACACAACACAGCTTGAGTTTTGCTGCTTTATTTGATTTTTAATAAAATTCAAGGTTATAGTGTCTCAATAAGCCTGACCACAACCCCGCTAATATATTTTCTTAGATTTGAAGTAGACTAGTATCAAGATGCCATATTATTTACTTAAAATCCATTATGTCTCTCTGTTTCTCATTTCAGGATCTAAGAAGATGGACAAGTTATGTGCTCAAAATGTATTGAGGATACAAAGCCCTAAACTTTATGAGAACCTACTACAACAGTGATAAGCAATGGAATATGGTTATCTTTGGATAGCAAGTCTGTAAATAGCCAATATGGTGAGCTGATTGTGTTGCAATTGGATTGAGATACCCATTTCTGCTTGGCCAGGAAACTCATTGTGGGACTCTTGGCCAATCACTACCCTCCAGTCTAACATCTCTCACAGCATTGTTGCAAGGATAACGGGAATGTGGCGTCATATTTGCCACCCTCAGTTCCTTGGAGAAAGGACAGGATAAATTGTAATGTTTTTTAAAAAACCAATCAAACAAGTAAGGATAAGGATGGTTGGGTTCAGGGTGATGTAGCTCCAAGGAGAGTCCTAGAAAACCTTAAAAAAGAAATTGCTGTTGGTGAAACTACCAGGCCTCAAAAGTAACTTATTTTTATGCATATACTATTGTCCCCCGGCAAATATTCTGATGCACTCTTGCAATGGAGAAAGAAATCAAGGGGGCAGTCAAAATAGGATATTTCAGCAACTTCAGCTACCCTTGCAGTGACAGATTAAATAAATGTAATCATGAGAAAGGTACAAATATTAATCATATTTCTAAATGTCTGCAGTTATTAGTGGAACTAAACAGACAGCAGCCATTCCTGAGGGGTCGCCAGGATCTATTTTTACAAACAAGTCAGAGGTCTCTAAAACTACAAATAGCATGGAGAAAGCAGACTAAGGATTTTTTTTTCTTCCTCTCATAATATTAGACCTTGAGGTTGTGAAGTGAAATTGATTAGCAGTAGATTCAGGAAAACAAAATAATTGTTTTTCATACAATATATAATTAACATTGAATTTACCTCCACAAGTTGATGGCTGCTGGCTTACATTTCTTTAATGATAATAATAATAATAATAATAATAATAATAATAATAATAATTTTTATTAAATGCTTCCTCCTCTCTCCCAGCATAGGACATTGAGGAAAAGCCTCCTATGCATGTAGCTTTTGGAATTTTAGCCACTGAAATTATTATTAATTAATGGAGTATCAACATTACTGTTCATTGTTGTTCTTGATTAGGGTTTTCTGAAACCAGATAAATTCTTGAATTACTGAATGAATTTCTAGCTTCCATTCTTATGAACTAATCAGTTATTATGTGCATAAATGCAACCCCTGTGTATGTAACACACTGAATATAATTTATGTTGCAACATCTGATGGTAAGTGCATCAATACATTCCTAATGACTATTATTATTGCTGCTTTGCAGATCTCAATAAACATTTCAGCATTGGCTCAGAAGAGTCATTAACACAGAGCCTTTTGTGTCAGGTTCTGCAGCTGAATCTGTGAACTGACTACAATGAAGAGGGTTGTATATGGAGTTTGATCTGGAATGGCTCATTCACATAAACAAGGTACCCCTGCAAACTGCAGTCATTAAGAGATTAATGTGTAATGGATATTAGATAAAAATAGATTGATTTTTTCTCCCACAAGCCTTTGCACTCTTGCTTAAGCATTCTTATTGTGGTGTCTGGCAGGGCCGTAGCTAGGGGGTGGCAAGGTGTGGCGATGGGTATGTGCAAAATCGGCTAAAATATGTCCATAAATATAAATATTGATTATTGCCTCATAAGAAATGGTTTTAAATAGAGGGTGAATTGAATGGGTGGAAGGTGGGGGTTGGAGGAGAGGCAGAAAGAAGAGCAAATTTATCCATGGCTATGGGGCGCAATCTGGACGGTTCTGCCAGGGGCGCAAGATCACCTAGCTATGGCTCTGGTGTCTGGTGATTTCCTGGACCTTGTAAGACTCTGTCTGTCTAATCTTACCACAGAAACCTAGCACAGCTCTTTGTCCTTCTCTTTTGCCTAGGGATCAATCTGTAGAAAGGGTTGTTGGGAAAGCTCAGTCGGTAGAGCATGAGACTCTTAATCTTAGGCTTTGGATACGAGCCCAACATTGGGCAAAAGATTCCTGCATTGAAAGGGGTTGGGCTAGATGACCCCCATAGTCCCTTCCAACTCAACGATACTGTGATTCTATTGCAAATGTAACAGAATGAAAAGGAAAGGCCCATTTCAGTAGTGGCACTTTGGGTATGGAACAGCCTTCCCCAGGGAGCCTCTCCCGGTGCCTGATCAATTGTCTTTTGGGCACCATGTAAAAACCCTTCAAAAATCTGTTCCTTATGGATCTGTTGGGAGACCCTTATGAATGGTGTGGCATTTGCAATGGGGGTTGCAGGGGAGGCAAGGAGTCTCTCAAGATCACCTTGATCCCTATTCTGCTGTCAGAAGGCTCTAGGGAATCAAAGAGTTCCTCTCCACTGGCTTCTGAGTAGGGGGTTAGGGGAAGGAGCTCTACTGTGGCAGAGGTCACAACTTCATCCTGTCAGGCAGAAAGCAACCATTAGCAGATCTTTAAGTATGACAGGAAAGGGTGGGAAAAAGACTACCGGAATGACCTGCTCTGCTCATTAGGACTGACACTCAACCAAGTCTGTGAAGATCATGTTTTTGCAAATAAAGAATTAACTTCATCTTTGAACTGTGTGATTACTGACCAGCACACATATCAGGGCAGAGCAACTAAGCAAACACCTAGAAGACCTTTCAGATCTTTAAGCAACAAAGGCTACAGCATGCTACTGTACCTTTTCACAAGTTCCTTTTGTCATTGTTTCAATTTGCCTTTCTTGCCTTACTTTGTTTCTGCTCAGCCATCACGGTCCATGTGGGTGTGGGCTACAGCTCAGTGACACATGCTCCACATGTAAAAGGACCTAAGTGCCCCGGGTAGGGCTGGGAAACTGACCTACCCAAAACCCCAGAGAGCTACTACCAGTCAATATTGACAATACTGAGCTAGATGGATTGTCTGACTTGGGAAAGGCACATAGGAAGCTGCCTTATGTGTATAAAACTGTCTTATTTGTATAAAAAAGGAATGGATTGTATACCTGGCCAACAATGACTCCACCAGATGACATCACCTACCAAGGTCTAAAAATAATTTTTTTTAAGTGTTTCTAGCCATGTTTCAAGAAAATCAGTCGTTGAATTCAAATGAATATTGACCCAAAAATCAGAAGGCAAATACTGCACCCCACTGCTTCTTTAGCTGCAAGTACTTGGGCTGAAAAACTTGGTGAAAGAACCATACCTCCCCCATTCTGTTTAAATTCTGTGTTGATAACTATTTATTTGCCTTTACTGCAGAACTTCCCATGCTATCAACTAAGAGACTTATCAGTGTCAGATTTCTTTCTTTGGATACTTCTTTCATAAACCAGATCTCCTTTGTGGTCAAAGGACACAATCCACAGAAATGCAAGGCTTGTTGAATTTAATGGGATTTAAGAGCTTAACTGCACTTTCCACTCTTTTGTTAACAGCAGCGGTACTTAGGTTCGCATACTTTTCTATGGATTGAGCTCAAAGAGTCCAGGAAATTATTTATTATTATTATCGCCAATGCTTCACTTTTTACTTGTATGTTGCAAAATGTTGCTTTAAGCCTTTATTGGAAGGTTGATTCGGGGTACTACATCATATTGGTGACAGTTTGTTTAAGTGACATCTCATTCAGTTGGATCTAGTAACACTCACTCTCATCTGTCATTAGTATTGACATGGACCAGTATTACCCCTGTGGCCTGGAGTTAGAAACCATGAAGCCAAAACTTTGCAATGAATGACTAACGGCATTGGGAACAGTACAGCAAAGGCCAAATATCCTACTATAGGACTTGCACCAGCAAGATTATGATGTGAAGAGATGTAGTAGGAACAAAATGGCATTGTTGAGGGATTTAATGATGACATGACTGTAACAAAATGACACAGAACCTCCACTGACAACTTTGTTCTGATGTTTGTTCACGATGCCTGACTATTTACCATGCTGGCAGGGCTGATGAGAGCTTCACTTCTGTAAAATCTGGAGGGCAGCACATTGGCTACCAGAGTTCTGGAGGTTTGCAGTATCACATTTATAAATCTGTGTGATAAAGACAAATCTGCATAAGCAAAACTATTCTCTGTCTAAAACATACTTCTAGTAAAACTATTTCCCTGCCACAGTAATCTTTAGAATACAGTTTCTTTTTGCATACCACAGATCACAAGCATAACTCTACAACCACTTTTGCAAGAGATCGTGAAACCAGAGAATGGAGTCTTGCCAGCCTTACTACTTCTGTGCAACGCTATAGCATATTTTCAGGTAAGAGAATACTTCACAGCAGAGGTCGTTCTGTTAAAGGGAAATATCCCATTCCAAATGCAACTGTTTTAAAATCGGTGGCTGTGAAGCACTTATATGTACACATATTTAGATATTAAGGGTGCACTCCTATACACACTTACCTGGGAATAAGTCCCAGTGAATTTAGTGGGACTTACCTATGAGTCCAGACAGACCTACCTATGAGCAGACAGACATGTACTGCTGTAGTAGTACGATTGTAGCAGCAGTATTGGCATTTGTATGGTGCCTCATAACATACAATTATTTGGTGGCTTTAAATACAAAATATGGCATAAACACAGTGGTGCAGGGGGACGGGACTTCTCCCCAACCCCAATGTTAAAACACAGGTTTAAAACAGAGGCCCAGACTACATGGGTTATATGAAAAAGGCTAGTTGAACAGAACTGTATTTGCCTGTCATATGAATCCCCAGATATTTCACTTTTTTTACCACTGTTAAACCTGTCTCATTCTGAAACCTCTCTTTTTCCATCGGTGTTAAATTCTTCTCAAGTACTTTAGTTTTAAGCTTATTCAACTTAAAACCTGCCACCTGACCAAACTCTTGAATCAGTTCTAATGCTCTTTTCGTACTAGATTCTGGCTCCTGTAATGTCAATACAAGGTCATCTGCAAATGCTTTCAATTTATATTGTTTCGCTCCGACCGTTATGCCCTTAATCAGATGGTCCCTTCTTATCATATTTAACAAAACCTCCAGAACAGAAATAAAAAGTAATGGGGAAATTGGGCAGGAATTTATTTAAAGACAATTATGAAAAATGTTGGTCGGACATTAAAAAGGATTTAGAAATATGGACAAATTTGAAGCTTTCCTTGTTAGGGCGAATTGCTGTCATCAAGATGAATGTATTGCCAAGAATGTTGTTTTTGTTTCAATCGATACAAATAATAGACAAAATGGACTGTTTTAAGAAGTGGCAGAGAGATATTTCTAAGTTTGTCTGGCAGGGCAAGAGGCCTAGGATAAAATTTAAAATATTGACTGATGCTAAAGAAAGAGGGGGATGTGCCCTGCCAGACTTTAAACTTTATTATGAATCAGCAGCTTTCTGCTGGTTGAAGGATTGGCTACTTCTGGAAAATACTGATGTATTGGACTTAGAAGGTTTCAATAATGTGTTTGGGTGGCATGCATATCTGTGGTATGACAAGGTTAAAGCTCACAAAATGTTAAAAACCATATTGTCAGGAAAGCATTGTTCAATGTCTGGATAAGATACAAAGACTTATTGGAGAATAAAACCCCAAGGTGGTTATCACCAATGGAGGCAAAGGCCCTAAAAAAGTCCAATATGGAGGCCAAATGGCCAAAATATTGGGAGATCTTGGAACAAGAAGGAGACAAATTCAAACTGCAGAGTTTTGAAAAATTAAAAGATAGAGTGCGAGACTGGTTGCATTATTACCAAATAAGAGAGGTCTATAATTTGGATAGAAAAATTGGCTTCCAGGTGGAAAAATCAAAGTTGGAAACAGAATTGCTAGATCCCAAAACTAAAACACTTTCAAGAATGTATAACTTGCTGCTAAAATGGAATACTCAGGATGAAACGGTAAAATCTGCTATGATTAAATGGGCACAGGATATTGGACATAACATTATGTTTGCTGACTGGGAATGGTTATGGACCACAGGTACGAAGTTCACAGCATGTAATGCTTTAAAAGAGAATATTATGAAAATGGTGTACAGGTGGTACATGACCCCAGTTAAGCTTGCAAAAATCTACCATTTGCCCGATAATAAATGTTGGAAATGTAAGGAAACTGAAGGTACATTCTTTCACCTTTGGTGGACGTGCCCAAAGATTAAGGCCTTCTGGGAAATGATATATAATGAGTTGAAAAAGGTATTTAAGTATACCTTCTTAAAGAAACCAGAGGCCTTCCTCTTGGGCATTGTTGGCCAATTGGTGCCAAAGAAAGATAGAATTTTCTTTATGTATGCAACAGCAGCAGCAAGAATACTCATCGCAAAGTATTGGAAGACACAGGACTTACCCACTCTGGAAGAATGGCAGATGAAGGTAATTGAATATATGGAACTGGCGGAGATGACTGGCAGAATCCGTGACCAGGGAGAAGAGTCGGTGGAAGAAGATTGGAAGAAATTTAAAGTCTATCTACAGAAATACTATAAAATTAATGAATGTTAAATTGAAGTTTGATTGAAAATAACTGGTATTGGCAAAAGCCTTGGGATTAAGAGTATGGAATATTTGACTGATAAGGTTGTAAAAATATTTATATATAAATAGATTAAGTTTTCTGAGTTAAGATAATGAAAGGAGGGTAAGGATTTGCTGAAAGGAGTATTTAAATGGAAATACAAGCGGGGAGGTGCGGGGAAGTCAAAGAACCAGGTAAAGATAAGAAGGATATATGAAAGTATAATATTCTTTGAATTTCTTTGTCTCTTTTTCTTTTTTTCCTTTTTCTTTTTTTGTTATGGATACTGTTATTTCTGTTTGTCTTTTGTCATGGTTATTGTTGTTTTTGTTTGTTGAATTTTTGTAATTCTGTATTTTGTATTTTTTTTGGAAATTTTTCTTGTAAAACCAATAAATACTTTATAAAAAAAAAAAAAAAAGAACTGTATTTGCCTATCCACAAAAGTTCCAAGTGAACCTTTCTGAGATGGCTGTTCCATAACTAGGTTGTCTCTGTCATAAAAAGCCCTTAGTGGTTACCA